CTTACCCGCACTAAACCCGAGCCGCGAAATTTAAATTATGTTCGTCACCGAATGTGGCGAACCCATACTATCTGTACTGAACAATCGAAGATAAACAAGTTGTTTATTAACAATGTATTGAAACCGGATTATAAATAAAGCATCCGCTGTTTTTTACGCTTTAAATAAAATAACCTATTCGGAAACAATTTATTGGTACATAATCAGGAAAGTATTTCCTAATACTGCTGTTACTTATTTTGTATTTCAAAGAATGCAAAGGACCAAGGTTATTCGAGTATTCCAGATAAGTATAGTTTTAAGTCCCAAGCTAGACAGCCTTAAACCGTACACCGACGAATTTTGACGAATTGATTTCGGAACAATCCGAAATAAATTGGATACGCACCAGACAGGATTAGAGCTCTGGATCAAGACCGTAAAGCTAGCCTAGCGAGTGGGCTTACAAAATTTGATACATTCATAATAAATTCATTTTAGCTTATTCTACGTGAAAATTATCCTATTTAATTCATCGGTTTAGCATTAATTTTTTCATAGTGTGAAAGTATTAAAATGTAGTTATTGTAGAACTTGGGTTTATAATATTTTTTTTTTTGCCGAGATACCGTAAATATCAGATAAATATCCACATCGCGTGTCTCGAAAACAAATAATAAATCTTATGAATTCGCGGTACAGTAAAATATATTGCATCATTTTATTTTTATATTGGATACTATAAATAGCTTTTTTAATCTTACTTTAAAATGTTATCGTTTCATTTGGTTCACTGTTTGTGTTGGAAAATATCTGTACAGAATATGTTTAAAACTCTTATTAGAAATTTAATTTAATATATTTTTTTTTTCAGGTAGGAGCCACAACAGCTGAATACATCAACAAATTGTCTGAGGCCGGTCTTCAGTTGGACAAACTTCATTTAATAGGTCACTCACTTGGCAGTCATGTGGCAGGGTATACAGCACGAGATCTCAAAAACAAATTTAATAAAACTGTTAAAAGGTAAACATCCTTAGTAAAGTTGTTATCGTTTAATTGCTATTATATTATTACAGGATCTAAAGCTACGCGTTGGTAAAAAAGCCGCTAGTTTAAAAAATAAGTAAAGGGATTTGTTAAAAGAATTTAAGATTAACAAAATTATTTTACAAAAAAAGACGTTGCAAATTGCGAAAATGTTACGATTTAAAACGTTTAAGTTCATTTTATAATAAAAATTTAAATTTAGGTTTTTAGTTATATTCGCTCAGTTTTTACATGTCATATTTAGCAATCCAGCTGTAAGAGTAATCTAGACTTTTAAAATTCCAGACTAACAGCACTGGACCCGGCGTTCCCTGCGTTCTACCCGGACGGCGTGGTGATGGAGCACGTGTGTGAGAGAGACGCGGAGTTCGTGGACGTGATCCACACGGACGCGGGCGGGTACGGCGCGCCCGTACGTACAGGCACTGCAGACTTCTGGCCTAACGGCGGTCGCCGCACACAGCCTGGCTGCCCGCGGTTCGCACCCGTACCTCTCTCCGATGATAGTAAGTATACTCAATAACTGAGACTGTTGTAATTACCTCAAGAGGAAAGAACAACGGTTCTTAATTTTAACCTAAAAAAAAACTTTTAAAAAATGGTTGTAATCCGATTTTAATATATTCAAATAGAGAAATCATCAAAGCATTGGAGTTTATATCGGTTGTAACGATTAAGACTGGTTGTTTTTAACAGCAATGATTATGCTATATTGCCGTAACTTAAATTAAAAATGTATATATTCTCGTAAATAAAACTCGAAAACCTAATTTTCAGATTTATGCAGCCACTGGCGTTCGTGGAGATTCTATGCAGAGTCTGTACGCAACCCCGAGGCATTCCCCGCCTCGCCGGCGGACTCCTACCAGAAGTTCAAAGATAACACCAAACCTGAAGTGGGCATGGTCTACATGGGAGCAGACTGTGATCTAAGGTAAAATGTTAATTACTTTGTTCAACTGTTTACAAGCTTCAAGCCTTCCATCGCAGAAATTTCTACCTTTAACATTTATTCTCTCTGTGGATAGCTACTCTACTTTACATGCAATGTGATATTACTGATTAAAATTTATAACATTTTATTCCAGAGCAAAAGGTTCATACTACTTAACAACAAACGCATCAGATCCTTTTGGTAAAGGGATGGAAGGCTTATATCCAAAACGCAAGAACAATAAGAAGAAATAAAATAAAACTTAGACAAGGTTTTAAGCGTAAATATGAAGAAATAGCAAAGTGACATTACAAGGTCACCGCGGGATACATTACAACTTGAACGTACCCACTGTACGTTAGTTGCCGATATTTGAGTTATGAATTAAGAATGATGTCTTTTTAATTGTTTTGCCACTGGCGTCGTGCCAACTGCCTATCTGCTACCGATCTCACAGGTGTGTTCACATTAAATAAGTTTACATTTTCTTGTTTAAACCACAAAAATATCGAATTATTATCAAACAATCAATGTAATATTGTAGAATCAGTGTAGTATTGCAAGTAGTACGAAGTTGTTATATTAAAATGCTTACTGAATTACATCGAATTTAAATGAATACTCATAATTTCATTAACATTTCCGATAGAAGAAAATGAACATAATCTTGTTTGTTAAATCTAAAGTTTTTACTGCGTTCAATTACACTTCTAAAGATTCTTGTATAATGTACTTTGCCAGACTTCGATTGGTAGCACCTGTTCCATTTTAATCGCTGTAATAGTAATTTTAAGGCCTTTTAAAACAATATTAATGTACCGCATTAGTTTTAGAATACATTCACGTCTTGATTAGAGAGATTATGGCCTAATAATACAAAAAATATTGTACGAGTGATTAAATTGTATATAACCATTGTGTACAATTGAATAATGTGTTCGAAGAAATCACTTAATTTATTATATTTGTGTAGTTATATATGATATTAATGTACCTGCACATTTAGTATGTAAGAACATACTTTTATAATTGTTGTGTTATGACCATTCCTTTACCAGTATGTAAATTAATTTAATGACGTTTTGATGCAGACCAATTTCGCAGAATTAAAGGATCTGTAAAGCTCTTATCATAATATTCGTGTGTTCTTGAGAACGTCGTGGTAAGGTCATCGACAAAGTATGAGATTTGTTAGTGTACTTTAGGACCGACAGGGGCGCTGGACGTCGTTGTAGATGACGTTACCAATATGTTCTCGCAACTATCACGCAAATATTCGTGATAGACCCGTTTAGGATAGGATTTGGAACTATTTGAGACCTATCATTAATTATATTTCGTAAATATTCATTATCACTCTTGTATCATTTATGCGTACTTAAATTGCAATACTTATATTTTTCGTCAACTTATCGTGTTATCATTGGCTTATGCAGAATTATATTTATTGAAATTTTATATTAACTATCCATTAGTTATATTAACAGCACTATGATAATTACCAATTAGTGCTACGTTGTGAATTTGTAATTAAGATTTTTTTTGCTCTTATTGGTGTAATTTTAATATAAAAAAATAAAGAAAATATTAAGGGGCCAACATCTTGACTCACTAGTAATTAAATTAAAAAAAAAAACTTTTAAAAAAACTTCTGCCTTAGTCCCATTAATTAGATAATATGAACATTCAAAGAGATTTTTAAGCCCTTCCTAAACTATAATGTGGCCGTTTTGCTATTACACGTCTTAAATGTTAAAGTAAGTTGCCATTACCAAAACAACTGTACAAAAACATACTGTCATCCCGCTCATTACATTTTGAAAAAACTGAGACAACATACGTTGTTGAACAGTTGTTTAAACAATGAAAACTTACTGTGACAGACGATTACCCCCACTGGCGCTTTTCTCTGCACAAATAAGGACGCGTAGTATAGGAATTAGGAACCTAAAATATGCAGCACTTTTAAATGAACTTAAAAGCACACACAAGTATGTTTTATGAAGTAAATAAAAGTACAATATTATACCCAAATATTTTAATATTCTTACCAATGTTATTAAACCTAGCAGTCCTGCAGACTATTTACCGACAGATAGTGCAATTGGGTTGGGCCGTTAAACTGAAATTATATAAAACCAATCCGTTGTATTCATACTGATTAAGCGCCCAACTAAACTATCGGCCGATAAAAAGTCTGTAGTCTGCTGGGGCTCTAAGTAAGTTTTGGCACAGATAATATAAAAAAAACTTCTTTAAAGTAGATACTATCATTATATGTAGACATTTGCTCTTAAGTCCGTCAGTGTTGAACAGTAAATGGAAAAGAGAATGTGAATATCCAACCGCGCATGATTGTTAACAGAATATTTGAGATTATACATTATAAGTCACAATATCTTTTGTTTTAATACGTTCCTTAACTCATTCCAATTCCAGAAGAAATACTTCTTAGTAGAGACTTAATTAAGCTTATCTTGTTCTACAGTGTGTGTATTGTAACATGGGGAGCATGGGTATGACGTCAAACGCCAACTCACGGTTTTCGTAAGCAATCCAGAACATTTTGTACAATACAAAAACACTTCTTTAACTTCTAGACTGTATTCTCGTCTTACGTTTTGTTTATTTTTAGGGTTTATCATCATTTAGCACGGTACGGAACATATCTGTGTTCCATCATTGTAATATTTACTGTTAGCTTTTTGCTATCCAACGAACGTCCACATCGAAGGCGTAACTTACCCTGTCTTTTGATTGCAGTAATAACAAACAATTTGTTGACTAAATGTTAAATTAAAATAAATATACATTCGATACCCTAATTATATGGTACTGTGAAGATAATAAGAATATTTCCTAGGTAATTGTAATATTGACCATTCAGCTATCATCTATAATGGTGACCATCTTTTCTTCAGGATTTTCTTCGAGATTAAAAGCATATCTTACGCCGAGGAAGACTGCTGCTATCACTGCGCCAGTCACAATAACTCTGTGTAAAAATTGAAAAAATAACTGCGATGAATACATTTAATAAGCGTTGAAGATTGAACAAAATATTATTAGACTTACACATAATTAAGTAAATGTTTAATTATTACACGCAAGAGAAAACGGCTACTTTTTAATAATGTAAATTGATTAAAGTAGGCTCTCATTGACTTCCAAAGCAGATAGTTATCATAGAATAAATGTGCGTAAGTATCATAAACACTGTTTATATTTTATACTCACTATAAAATGAATTAATAACTACTATTATTCAAGGAAGAAACTCAGGTATATTAAGACAAAAAATAACTTAATTTAGAACGACTTAACTTACGTATGATCGAACCATGACGGCATCGACTAGTGTTGGTGCCTTCGGGGGTCCATCTTCAGAACGTGTTTTACTTTCTTTGTATTTTTTTTGTTTTCTTTGCCGTCGTGTTTCATCACCGCATCATACGTAAGTTAATGCGTTCTTAATTACTTTATGGTAAAGTTTCACGAAAGCTTAAACAATTTAATAAAAAAATATATAAATACTTACAGTACAGGGTGTACCATTATTATAATAAATGGTTTATTAGTAAACGTAAATGTTGTAGGAGAGAAATCTAATCATGAGCACTGCAACGACAATGAACATGTAATGAGATTGAATGCTAGTGTTGCTAAAACATTTATTTATTCCCACATCTGGGTTCGACGTTAGTAAACTTCTATTTCCTGTTCGTTATTGTTTTTTTTTTCTCACAATTCCCTGGCATTCTATGAAATAGGAGGCCGAGACAATGGATGTTTAAAGAGTCGGTTGACGGTTTAGCTGTTTTGCGGCTTAAGTAACACGATATAGAGCTAACGCGGTCGCAACCAACGACGCGGTATTAAATTGTAGAGTATCATTCAAGCTATTTTACACGTACGTTATGAGGTCACTTCCACATAGAGTAAACTGTAATTAGCATTACATTTTGCGTAGCGTTTTCCAAATTTACCGAAGTACTTAAATAAAATTGCTCCCTTTTATTAATAGAAACCAACTTCAGTCAACATATTCTAAGTCTTAAGAGATAGAGCCAGACAACAGTGGTGGCCCGGTGTAATAGCACGACCACACAGAAGACAGTGAAGTGGGAGCAATTGCGTGTTTCGTTTAATGAGTAGTGCCGGAGGCCCAACCTTTCCTTCCCACCCTTTTTCTTATAAGGAAAGGATGGGAAGGAAACGTGCATTTAACGGTGCAGGAGACATATATCCTCTTTACGTGCGTCTCCGCCACCATCATCGATCAAGGGTAGGCAATACATCAGGTATTGCGAATTTCTATGGGCAGCGGTCGTTTCGCCATTGTAGTGGATTTAGGTGGCCTCATGCTCCTTTGCCACCTTGTGATATAAAAAATCAGTACTTTTTAAATAGAACACGGCTAATTACTTAAATAAAACTAAATGAATTATGAAATGTTTTAATCGTATTGTATCATGTTTTCTGCACTTGCATCGTTTTCATATTTGTATACTAACATTGTCGTCTTGTTTATTTTCTCTGTGTCTGTGATCTGTAGTATGTACTGTATACAAAAATGTACGCTGTATATAATAATGCAAATTACGAGCAAACTGAAAGAAGAAACAATTTAGTTAGTATTCTAGTTATACTAATTTTCTTTTAAATATCACTGAACTTTGCCTATTATCTCCTAACAAGTCAGTTTTTCTATATTGTTCTGGTGAAATCTAAAGAAATTCGTTTAACCGCACTTTTTAATTTTTTTATTGCTATTGATGTGTTTTCCTTTCCCAAGATCTTCTTAAGATAATTATAATTTTAAGCACCTTGCAAATGCAACTAAACATTAGAACACGTTATCTGAAATCTACTTCTAAACATTTACCAAGATTTACTACTACAAAACTGAAATTGACAAATCTATACTTGACTAATATATCACCTCCTAAAATTATGTAAATTAATATCTCTCTTTCCAACTCACTATCCAAAAGCCATGTTACTGTTATAAATATTCAATAATAACCATTTTTCAACAAATAAATCTTAAGATATCAAGAAAACGTCACTGGCGTTTTATTGTCAAATATTTAATTATTTTTAAATCTGTTCTCATTTCTTCTCATGTGCACGTTTTGGTTCTTCTAATATCTTCTTTTTTTATGTATTTTTTAGATTGACTTTCACAGGTGATTATTAATATTTCGAAAACAGAATACCTAATATCTAATGTAGAAAAATATTCGTAAGAAAAAGCCAACTTTCACAATCATAATTAATATTTAATTTACATTTTCATTAATATAATACGATTTAATATATGTAGGAATAAAAACCTATACATCATAAAATGTGAATACATATTTATTTTGTTGCAATTAGTCTAAAAATCCATAAAGTAATGACAGTTTCTTCTATATTTTCCATGCGCCTGGTTCAGGGACAGTCGGTGGTGGCAAAACAGGTGCCGAGTGAGGTTCAGGCATGCTCATTAAATATTTCGTAGTCCAATAGGCGCCGAAAGCTAACAGCCCCGTTATTAAGATGCTGTAAGAAAACGTATGCGTCAAACAAACTGTGTGTTTATGTAAACAAAAAATAGCAGTAAACTGTACAAAAAATCAATAAATTTGTATAACACTCCAGGGAAATATACGAATCAAATGATACCTCACTTTTCATAATCGGTTCAACCGTTTAAGCTAAGTTCATTATAATTGACAAAAAACTCAAGAAGTTGAACTTAAATTCAAACTGAACTCGAGTATTCAATAGAACTAATAAATTTTAAAGAATTTTATGAAGTTACGATTAACGTTTTGTTGTGAAATCTAAAAAAATAAAGCTAAGGTCTTTTTGGACTAAAAATGCAGCAAGATCTTGTATCATAGATAACGGAAGAACGTTGCATTATATTACGCAATATTTGTTGATAAAACATAAATGTACACTCGTAATAGTTGTGGTTAACAAGACAAACACGGTATCAAAGCAATTTACAGGTGATATCGATATAAGTGTTAATTTCCTTGTTACTTTTAAATACACATTACAATGGGTACTGAAAAAAACATCTTGCTAGATCTTGTTAGAGATTATCCTTTTGATATTTTTTGTATCACCAATACAAAATTAACCGCCAAAAACTGTGATCCGAACAAAAAATTCACCTTTCGCCACAGTTGTTATAAATATCACATGGTTGTTAATAAGTAACGTTAACAAATTCTTCTAATCATAGGATTATGGTTAAAAAATAAATTGTACAAAGTAAAACTAGTAGCAAAACACTTTGTTTTATGGCTACATGTTAAAATTTTATGATGACTTTAGCAGAAAATTGTTCACACTTTTATTTCTCCCAATTTTTTAACGTTCGTTCTTTAGAAATAATATTATAATTATTCGCTGCAAATAACTCAACAATAAATGATTGTTGAAACTTCTTTCATTCCCGAAAATAACAACACAATGTCTACAAACTTTGCCATCAATGCCAAAGTTCTATTATTGGACCTTCGGAATTAAACACAAAACTCGTTCACAATACTTTGAATTCGAAACGAATGCTGATAAACAAATAGTCTAGTTTATTTTCTATAATTTTGAAAAACCATTTCTTTACAATGATAAACTAGCATTGTTACTATCAAAATCGATATACAACAGGCTTAGAACGTTTTATTTAAAATTCAAGCAGCTACTTACAATCCAAATGGCATTTTCTTGCGATCCTTTCACTAATGACTGCGATCGTAGTCTTCTACATGACAATGGGGTTAGAGTTCACTCGTAGAGTTATAACAATGTAATCTTTTATAGCTTTTGTATATATTAACCTTGTTAAACATAGTTAGCATAGCTATAGTATACGATTAAAACTATAATAACCTATAAATCATCCATTTTAATGCTTAAACATCGCTAAACCATGTATGGGCCAAGGTAAAGAAAATTATTGTTGGCTTTCAAGTTTCTGATTATGGTAGTCAAGATTCTAATTACATTCTTAAGATTCTCAGCATTTTTTAAAATATAAGACTCAACATTTATGGTAGGAAATTAACTAGAAATCAGTCAAATAAATTGATTTAACGATCCATTGCAAGCTACAATGGTTTTCTGGTACTTTCGTCTTTCCGATACTGTAACATACATCGTACTTTATACTAATATTATAAATGCGAAAGTTAAATGGATGGATGGATGTTTGATAGATTTTTCAGCCTAAACGGCTGAACGGACATCGATGAAATTTGGTAGAGATGTAGAGGATAGTCTGAAAGAACATATAGGCAACTTATTTTTTTTCTTATTCCACACGAACGGAGTCGCGGACGCAAGTTAGTATTTATATTGCATTGCTTAAAAATATTGCACTACCATCGAGTATCATAGAAAAACCTTAAAACATTTTGGTTCGGGTTTATGTGTCCAAAAGTAAGTTAAATTATAAATACGAGACACGCTTCTGGAACTTGAATATACGAGTAGAGGCTTTAAGAAAGCAGTTATATTTAAAATTTCTCATTTTATCGCTTGTCTTTGTTATAGCTAACTGTGTGCCGATAGCTGCTTTCGTCCAAGTGAACATTTTGTTGAATAAACATTAGTGTATGTTTAAAACTTATTGTATGAACTAAGGGTACATTGAGCGTAACTTTAATAAATATTATTAACCACGGATTAAACATTGCCGTATACAATTGTATAAGTAGATTTTCCAATCACTGGTTGCAAACGGGCTTCTTAGTTCATTGGACATATTCAGAAAACAAAAAAACAGCTGTTCGAATATATTTACATCACATTATTACCATAAAAACAAGTAAACCGTTCTAAAATAAAGTATATGACATACATAAGAATATAAAATCTACCAATGTAAAAATACCGGATAAGAGACATAGGGTTCCGATTGCAAGATAAGTCCTATCGAAGGTTCTACGCCGTGCCTGACTGGGACGGCTTTGTTCTGCAGAGCTTTCTTGAGATTCACTTGGTATTTGTCGTCGGCTACGCATTTTCTTAAATTCTATTGATATCTAAAAAGATAAAACGTAGCGTTTCAAATATTCAGACAGACTCGACTTTTAAACATGATATTGAAAGTTTAGTAATTAACTTGATTAGAGTTGTAAATGCAAAATATGATCGCTAAACAAGAATAACATTAAAAGTAAAAAGTATACCTAGTAAGGGAGTGGAACAAAATACAGGGAATTTATTAATCCATACATTACATAATTTTTTAAGTTGTTAAGATGTT